GTAATGGCTGACGGGCAGCCATATACATTACTTTGAACCGTTCAGCCACTGGAAAGAATGTTTTTGATGATGTAGGGAATCACAAAGATGAAATTTTGGAAAAGTTATGACAACCACTCTAAGAAGCTCAATGAAATATTTATTTCTAAAAACTTGCATACTGTTTTTCCGACTTGCACAATTAGTCTACAGTATTTATTAAATTCTTTATTTATTTTTTTATTTATTTATTTATTAGTCCCTGTTCGGACGAAGTCCGAAAAACGGGGACTTATAATTCGGTCTCCGTCCGTCCGTCCGTGCGTCCGGAGTCATATCTCAGAATCCCTTGGACCAATTCCGTTCATTCTTTGCATGTGCCTAGTACTTTATGTGGGACATATGCACATGCAGTGGTTTAGCGATTCAAAATGGCCGACTGGCAGCCATCTTGTTTTTTGAAAATGTTGTATGTTTGGACATGCTTTGTCAGTTTTCATTCAAACTTGGTACATAGATTATACATGTTAGGATATATGTCCATGACGATTTATTTTGCAATTGAATCAAAGATGGTCGACTAGCAGGCATCTTGTTTTTTTATGCGGTATCTTGGACGAGCTCTGTCAGTTTTCATTCAAATTTGGCACATACAAGTACTTTATACATGTTAGGATGCATGTCCGTGACAATTTGTTTCAAAATCTGGTCAATGATGGCCGATTGACAGCCATCTGACTTTTTGGCCTTACTACTATATTTCCACAATTTATGTACCATTTTCATTCGTATTTGGCACATACATCATACATATCAGTGTGTTTCATAATCAGATCAAAGGTGGCCGAATAATGGCTGTTTTTATTTTTGGCCATATTACTACTACACGGAACATGTGTTTTGATGTAAATAAACAATCTGTTGTATACGCCACTTGGAACTCAAGTTTCAAGGACACGCTCGCGACAACCCCTTTCAGAACTTTCAAAAATTTTACGGGGACTGTGTCATTTTCAATGATTTGTTTTTATTTATTTGTTTATTCATTCATTCATTCATTCATTCATTCAATAACTCACACACATCCCCCTGCGGGGATTGAGAAAAATATATAAAGGTTTATCAATGCACCATATTGTTTTTCATGCAGGGATAACTCCAGAGAAAGAAGAGACTGCATCTGTAGTTGCCAGCGCTAGAGCACGTAGTGAGCCATGGGTGTCAACTGTTGGCAAGAGACTTGTCAGTGAAAAAGAATGGGGGTTACTGCAACAAGAGGTAAGTCTATAGTTCGATGTCATACAAATTCATGACAGAAATAAAGCATTGTAAATATATATTACACATGTTCTATCACTGCTCCAGTTCCAACCCTCAAATGCTATATATTCAACATTTTGAGCATCGTAAGTGCAAATTACAATTATTATAAATTTTAATAACTTCATTAATTTTAGGGCAAAGATGAAAAAAAAGAAATGTAGGTTTATTTTGTAAAAGATGACAAACATTGGACTTTTGGGGCTTCAGTGGTTAAATGTACAATTTTCTGTGGTCTACTGAATGGTCACATCCATATATAATTCTCACTAGTCAATGTGCAGTACTGTACATAACAGTAAATACCTTATTTAAACTACTGTAAAATACTTTATTTTTGCTGGAATTAATTTTCGCTGAAAAGGCTTTTTGGGCGTTTTATATGGAATTTATTTTCACTGATTTTTGATGAGTTTAATGTGAAATATAGGAAAAAAAGTATATTCGCTGGATTTTATTTTCACGGAATCGCCCCTTCAGCGAAAATAGCGAAAATAAATTCCAAGCGAAAATAAAGTATTCTACAGTATTTGAATTATATTTCAAATATTTGTATTTCACTTCTGGTGGACAAGCAAAATGCCGTTCAATGCAGTCAATATTGTATATTGCAAAATGCCTATCAGATTTCAAAACATTTCCCCTATTAGTAAGACTGAAATTCAGGTCATTCTAATTAACCCTCGGCCAGTATGACACAGACAGTGTCACTTCGGTGTCACAATAAACAGATGAAGATGCCTAAAATCAATTCCAGTTTGACAAACCTCTGTCATGTGCATGTGCTACGACAAATACTGTATACCAGATTAGTGAATTTGAACTTCAGTATTCTAAGGACACTCAATGACAAATTTCTAGAAATGGCTGAAATGATTGAAATTGAGAAGAAAGTATATTTGACTATTGTTATAGGTATCAATCACATGATAAAGGGTCTGTGCTTCAATGTACACAGCCTTTTTCAAATTTTTGCGCCCTAGAGATTAGACAGTTATATATAGTTTGGTAAAGGTTATTGATAATGCATGTATAGATTTTAACCAGACTGTCACCATTCTCTGTGAAAACAGGTTAAGAGTGCCAGAGAGAAGTTAGGAAGGCCGTGTGATATGTGTACTAACTATGAACAGCAATTGCAGAACATGCAAACAGTGGATCTTGAGCAGAGAGATCTTGTTCATGATTTGAAAAAGGTAATGTGTATTTGCATATATTCAGTTCTTACTATTTCCCCATGATTCATTATTTTTTGTCAAGTATCGCTACATGTTTCGCCTGTAACTCATCAAGATCCCTTCAGTGAAAATAAATTCCAGACGGAAATTAAGTATTTTCCAGATGTCACTGCACATGCACATGTCAGTTCCTGTGTCTTTCTTCAATGAGAACCAAGTCTACTATGTTTTACACAGCCACATGTAGGCTTCCATCAGGTGTGATACCATCTCTTCAGGATGTCTCACACAATGTCTTACTAACATGAATATTTTTTCTTGAATTTTTCACCTAATTTTTGGCATCTACTTTAATCTATAATAAAAAAAAAAAAGATTAATTTAAATAATCTTGTGTCCAAATTTTGATTATGCCATTCTCTCCATAAATATTTAACCTTTATTTCTTTCTTTTGTAGTTTTATCATTCCTAGTCCTGTTGTGTTTTGTGTGTCTTAGTTTTAATTTTTTTGCGACCGTACTACTTGTACCTTTCTGTGTCAGTGTTGTGTCAATAAAATATTATTACAGTAATTGTAAATACCAAATATCTATCGACAGCAATTAGAGAAACTTAAAGAGAAGTCATTATTAGAGCGAGCCGACCGAACTCAGCTTGAGGAGAGTCTGAAAAATGCAGCACAGGATGCACAGCAGCAGGTTTGTCTTCAAATGTGTTTTTAATGTTGAATATGTCAGGCTGCCCTCTATAGTTATGAATAACTGATACGCTTGTTTACAGATTACTAGTTTACTGGCTAAGAATCAAGAACATGAATCTTTTCTTACTGACTTGAGACAACAGTATCTGCGAAGTCACAATGAGATGCATGATCAGCTGGTAAGAATGTTCATTTTGTGTAAAATTTTGTATGAGCCCCCAAAATGAGCTTGTGAACTGTAGTTTTCTTTGACTTGCATGTTTTATTTTAATATTCGCCAATTGGATTCTGTTTCATGGTAACATTGCAGAACATTATTTTTTTCAAAATAAAGCCTGTAATTCTCATATTGCAGTGATAAAAAGAGTACCATAGCATGATTTGGTTTTCTCTTCATACTTTTCAAGCATGCATATTTCACACAAGAGTAAAATGTCATTACGGTGAATGATATACCCTATTGTCATGTGATATGTCATTACGGTGAATGATATACTCTATTGTCATGTGATATGTCATTACGGTGAATGATATACCCTATTGTCATGTGATATGTCATTACGGTGAATGATATACCCTATTGTCATGTGATATGTCATTACGGTGAATGATATACCCTATTGTCATGTGATATGTCATTACGGTGAATGATATACCCTATTGTCATGTGATGTGTCATTACGGTGAATGATATACCCTATTGTCATGTGATATGTCATTACGGTGAATGATATACCCTATTGTCATGTGATATGTCATTACGGTGAATGATATACCCTATTGTCATGTGATATGTCATTACGATGAATGATATACTCTATTGTCATGTGATATGTCATTACGGTGAATGATATACCCTATTGTCATGTGATATGTCATTACGGTGAATGATATACCCTATTGTCATGTGATTAGAAATACATATCAACCTGTCATCATGTGCATACTAATTGAAATATTACCAGCGAGAAGTGTCTCAGATTGTGCAATCTCTGAATGGCAAAGTCAACATCCTTTCATAAAATAAATAAACAACATTTTTTTCCAAATGCCAAGAAGAAATACGTCTATTTGATCCAAAATTGACAAAAAATGTTGGCAGGAAAAACATGAAGGTTAACAAGGCAAATCTCTAGGTTTTGTTACATATGCAGTAAACTGAATTTTCTGTTCAAAATGCTTTCAGGATTCACTGTTTAATAATCCATAAAAACTGAACTACATGTCAAGAGACAGTTTAATCAGGAATACTATGATTTGTTAGTCTCCCAGCTCAAATGCAGTCCTAAAACAAATACCTGTATCTCGTATCTTGATTGCATTCAAACTTCATGTTTTGATTTAAGATGGCCAAATGGCATCTATTTTTGTGCTATAAGTTCATCAATATTTCTATCATTCTGAAACTGGATCTTTGTCGTGTATTGACAGATTTTGATATTGACAGAGGCCTTGATGCACATCATTCTATTTTTCAGATCAAATTCAAACAGACATTTTGTGTCAAATGCCATTTCATATCTTTGACATTCCTTGACTGATTGTAATCAAACTTTACACCTACATATGTCTTCATGTCACATATTTGTTTCTCGTTCTGATTCAAAATAGATGACATTTAAGTTTTGTTTACTGAAACATGACTTGTTTATTCACACACACTGATTATAGGAACAACACGAAAGATTGTTTGTTTCATAATAAATTGTTTACATTATATATCATTTCAGTTAATGTGGTTTTCTCTTCACAGAAAGCATTATTGGATTCAAGAGAACAGTTATATGAGGAGGTGAGTGAAACCACCATTTAAAAATAAATTGTTTGCACCCTTATTGATTGGAGGGGAGATGATGGGGGGGGGGGTCCATCACAGATGTGTATACATTTGTCCCTAGTGTGTTGCTATGCATAGCATGGGACCCACATCAAACCCACACAGTCATGACCACCACCCTTCACAGGATTACCAGTTCTACTTGGCATATTTCTATGTTTGTGTTTATTTTGAAATGTACCTTAAGTTACTTATTATAATGAACTCAACACAGCATAGGAAACCAACTGAAGTATTACAATGTATTTTACTTTGCCTGTAATGAAATTAAAACAAGGTGTAGGATATATTTTGTCAGTCTGGTGGTGGTGGTGTTGTTATCTTCGTTTATAGTGGCCTAACTCTCATACTTATTCAAAATAAAAAATTGCTTTCTAGGTTGAAAAGCTTCGAAAAGAAAATGATATTCTCCTTGCCAAAAGGAGTTTACACTCATCCATACTTAAAACTGAAAACTTTCAAATGCCTCAGAAGGTAGAAGATTTACAGCAACTTGTTAAGAAGTATCGGCGAGACATGATCAGTCTTCGAGTAGCGGCCGAGCACAGTGATGAGACGCTACGAAGTGAAATCATGTTCTTAAAGGAGAGAGTACAAGCTGAACAGCATACCAAAGAAACAATAGAAGACACTCTGCAGAGTGATTTAGACACTGCCAGGGAAGAAATTGGTAAGACAGCGCCCTCATGTGTTTGTAGACTGCCCTCTTGTGTTAGAATTGACAACCTACTTGTTGATCTACATTCCAGGTCCTGCATTTAACTTTTTTTTTTTTTTTTTATCTCAGCAATACTTAGTAGTGTGAAAGATGAAATGGTAAAAATAGAAATGAATAAAGAAGAAGCAGAGTTGAAATGTGCTGAATTACAACAGAATTTAAAAGTTACACAAATTCAAGCCAAAGATGTTATTAGGGCTTTGGAGAAACAAATAGAAGAATTAAAAATTGCTGTTGTAAGTTGGTTTGTGTTTTACATCTTTTAGTTGTTCACATGAATTGCTTTCTCACTCGAATTGTTTTTTGGAATACTGGGTAATTTATATCACGAAATATAATACGATAATCATCTTATTTTCGCTGTTAAGTGGAGCTATTCATATTTCTGATTGGGGATATATGGGTTGACATGTTATTTGTTGTGTTTATCGTTACAGTAAAAAATCTATTATTTAGCAAAAATTATAGAGTAGAGGGGTTGCTATTCTGTATTGCTCTGGGGGGGAAACCTGTCGTATGTGGCATTGAACTTGAAATGTTTCATAGACATTCTATAATTAGTGAAATACAATAGATATATGCTATATACATTGTACTATGTAGATGGTAATCTCCTTGTACTATATTCAACCTATTGCTGCATTTAGCTGTGAGCAAGCTCCATGAGACAATGTCGTTAATTTTAAAAATAATTAATGAGTGCTGAGTTTCTGATATACTAAAATATCTTGGTTTGCATAATTAATTATTTTGGAATTTTGTTCTGCATACTGCTGATGCTACACTACTGGAGTTTGATTGGAGGGTACCGGTACTGTAAAATATTTTAATTAAGCTGGAATTAATTTTCGCTGAAAAGACTTTTTGGATGACTTGTATGGAGTTTATTTTCATTGATTCTTGATGAATTGAATGTAAAATATAGGAAAAAATGGATTTTATTTTCACTGAATCATCCCTTAAACGAAAATAGCGAAAATAAATTCCAAGTGAAAATAAAGTCTTTTAAAGTATACAGAATTTTTTAGCAATGCTAAGTAAATATTATTAGTTTTAATTTCATAATCAGAGAAACAACAGCATGCCATGTGTATGTTTGTTTTTGTTTCAAAAGTTTAGAAAAAAAATATGTAGAATTTCTGGCACCTTGTCTGTGATCAATTTAGTGATGGTTAATACCATTTTATTGCAGGAAAAACATGAGACTAAAGCCACAGAGAATAGTAATAAAATTCACTCATTGCAAGTAGAATTAGATAATAGTGAAGCTGTACAAAGAGATTTTGTA